TAATCCCAGGAAAACAGAAAGGGATGAATACAGTGAATGGGGGAGCAGACTGCTGATCCCGTAAAGCTGGACTCAGGGAAGCCACAAAACAAGGGCTCCAGTTCTCCATTCCTGACACTGTCGGCTCGGCTGCCCAGCATCCTGGGCAAATATGCCTCCTGTCCCAGAACTGGGGGCCTTGCTGACAATTTAAGAAAACTTGGCAGGTCTAAATGCATCTTCACAGGACTGCTTATAAATCATGGGCCTGCTTTATAAAATGTGCTTTTGCTTAGTGACAGGGCTTACTCATGATTGGAAGTCAAGATTCCTTAGAGATTACAGGCTGTCAAGTCTCTTGTTAACTGGATATAAGCATTGGGGGGATTTGTTTTGTTTTGTTTGCACTGCCAGATCCCCAGAGAATGAGAACTGAATAAATTTTCAAGTTCTGAGAATTGTCCCCTTATGACTCCTCTGCCATTCCGACTCCCTCCGTAGAAGATTCAGCGTGAAAGAATCTGGAAGCAAATGTCCTCGGCACTAAGACCAGTGCCACTTTCTGGTTGAAAAGTGCCATATTCTCAGGGGCTCCTACTCCCCCAAAGAACAGTGTCTTCATTGTGAGCCAGACAGTATTCTGTACAACAAAAATACATCATCGATAGATCTCCAAAATAACATCAAAGTAAAAATACTCCATATAAGGGAATTGTTGAGAGCTCTTCAAAAATAAACTCTTCATTTGGACATGGTATAGACAGGTCGAGCATCCCTTGTTTGAAATGCAGGGGATCAGAAGTGTTTTGGATTTCAGATATTTGGGGGGCGATTTTAGAATACTTGAATATCCGTAATGAGATATCTTGGGGATGGGACCCCCCCAAGTCTAAAGACGAAATTCATTTGTATTTCATACGTAACTCATAGCCGGAAGGTTAATTTATATGACATTTTAAATAATATTGTACGTGAAACAAAGTTTATATACATTAAACCATCAAGAAGCAAAGGTGTCAGGTGTAGAATTTTCTACTGTGACATTCATGTCAGTGCTCAAAATGTTTGGGATTTTTGGATTTCAGATTTTGGATTTTCAGAGTAGGGATGCCCAGACTGTAGTAGGCTCTTGTTAATGGTTTATTGAGTCAGTGAGTAAATGAATACATCAAACTCGAGTACTGTTAATTAATGGCTGTTGGAATAATGTACATATTCCCTAACTTCCCATTTCAATATTTTTTCTACTGTACTTTGTAAATACATCCTCCCCTTAAACAGTTCTATAAAATAGGTATAAATGCATCTACAATTACACAAGAGGCCTCAATATACCACTAAGTACACACACACACACACACACACACACACACCCCATATAATGTAAAAATTGTGACCCCGAATATATCCTAAATCTGACCCATCTTAAACATATGTATACAGATAAAATAGTTTGTAATAGCTTTGATGAGTTAATGTTCCATATTTTTCTTGAAAAATTTCCCATAAGGGAAACAAGAACTGAACTACATTTAATGTACACCACACTCTGCCTATCAGAAACTGTTTAATCAGAACATCTCCTTGATGGGGTTGTTTGTCTGTGAACATCCTGCTTCCTTGTCCATTTCTCATAAATGGGTTCCTCATTTTGAAGGAATGGGAAAGATAAATAAAGTTGCCCACCAGTCTGAGACTGATCCAAAGAGCTGAGAATGAAGACAGAGTCAAGAATTGTCTCTGCCAACAGCCTAGATTGTGTGACCAAGGATGGGGTCCAATCTGTTGCAAGTATATCTAAATTTGTTATATCATTATTTTTATTTTCAGAGTCACACATCAATAAAAAATTATTTCAACTGTCTTTGCATGTACACACATTTCCAAATATCCCCAAAGAAGCAGTGTGTTTTTAGTTTAAAAAAGGAAAATGAAACTTTATTTGAATTCTAACTTTTAAATCAGATTTGCAGCTTTATAGTGCTAACATACCTTTATGGTAGAATTGAACTTTCGTGACACTAGTGAGTGACAAAGAATATAATTCTATATGTGTTGAAATGTGTTTCGATTATTTCTAATGCAACGATGGGTAGTAATAAACTATCCTATGATTGTACAACAGGCTTGAATGACAGCCTCAGGTATCCTTAACTGACAAAGAGTTACTAAATCAAATTCGGTAATGAAAGAAAACATAAGCACAAGGGTGAAAAGAGGCTCCCCTAAATTTTGTTTTTATTTAAATGATGCAAAAAAAACAAATTCCTCTGTTTAGCCAAAGACTAGTTCTTAGGCATTTATTACTCTAAAAACCATTGGAATGGAGTATAGCACCTCTGGATTATTTATTGCAAACTGCAGAGGGGTTTAGACAACTGTGCTGCCCAAGAAGGTGGCCGCTAGTCATGTGTGGATGTTTAACTTAATTAAAGTTAAGTGTGTACTAAAGTTCCTCAGCTGATTAGCCACATTTCAAGCTGTCAATCGGCCGGTGTGTTCAGCGGTGCCATATTGAGCAGTACAGATTGGGAACATTCTCTACATTGTAGAAAGCACTGCTGCTAACTCAACCAGTGTAGCTGATGCTCCTGAGAAGGCGCTCTAATTGACGATGGCTTCTTACACAAATGGATTCGGGAGGCTTTTTTGGAATTGCATTTTAGTACATAGTGGACAATACCACTTACCATGTTAAACAGTATATAAAATTGTATTGTTTATAGTTTTCCTTTTTTCATGCCAAAATTGTTAGCACAATTTTACCAAGATCCTATAATATCTAAAAGACTTTCAAATTGGTTGCTATAGCTTTTCAAAATGTCTGCAGCTCATGTGGCGGTTCTCAAGGCTTCTACAGATTTGGGGTCCGTTTAAGAAAACATAGGAGACAGTCGTATTCAGCACTTAGTACTCCTGAGACTAGATGTTTTGACAGATTACAAGAAAAATAAAATATTTATAAAAATTATTAAGGTTTTCATAGGATACATGTTGTTCTAATATTTAGATATTAGAATGAATCCTGACTTAATATTCTCATTTACATTGGTATGCTTTAGTTAGTATTTCTTTAAAATTATGCTATTTGGTAATGGCATCATTAGTGTACTCTAAGGTTGTTTTATTAACGTTACATATCCGAGATATAACAAAAAGTTTTTGTTTTGTTGTAAACAGGGAGCAGGGAGTGCTCCTGAAACCTTAGAGAAAGGGTTCTTTCTTCTCATTGTGTTCCTGTGGGAAGGGATTTCAGAAATTTTTGTCGGACGCCTTTCCATCACTTGCCAGCTGTGTTCTGCATGGCTGAGTGTTGCTCAGGCCCCAGTTGATAGGGAACCCCGGTAGAGCTTCAGAAGAAAAATGTCTGCAGCTTAGTGGTAGTTCTCAAAGCAGCAGCATCTGTCTGCTCTGGGAGACTGTTAGAAATGCAGACTCTGGGGCCCACTCCTCACCCTCCAAATCCAAGTGTCTTCGGGAGCGGCGTTGGCAAACTTTGACCAGCACCATCATCACCCGGAGTACTGGTTAGAACCCAGATCCTTTGGCCCCTGCCCCAGAGTTTGTTCAGTTTACGATGGGGTATGATTCCGATTGCTCTGATTCCTCTAGAATTTTGTTTGTTAATGCTGAAAAGACCATCCACAATGATGCTGCAGCTGCGGGAACAGGGACCTCCCTTTGAAAACCACTGCTCTAGGGGGGACCTGGGACTCATACTTGGTTGCACAGTGAAATCACCTGCTGAGCTTCCCAAAAAACCTGACCTATGGGTCTCACCTTCAGGGATACTGAATTAAATGGCAATGATAAGTCATGAGTATTGAGGTTTTTTTTAAAGCTCCCCTGGAGATTATAATATACAGCTAGATTTGAGAAACCCAATCTATTTAATACATGTTTCATGCTCAGAGCTGCCACTGGGAGAGAAGCAAAACTGCATCACAGCCACCCCCTGGATGACTCTGGATGAAGCTGGACTATTTCTCTGGGGTTCAGAGAAAGCACACCCACATCTGTAGTGTTTGTCCCCCATCCTCCACATGTAAGATCTTCACAGCCTTGAGACTAACTTGAGGAACCATTCCACAAATATTCCTGGAGTCTCTGCTAGGAGTCAGGCCCTGTTCTAGTTGCTGGGGACACACCATTGAATAAACTCATGAAACTTACATTTTACTTTCACTCTTAAAGTTAAAATAATTGCTTTATGGATTGCATGTGTGTATGAGAATATTTAAAATATATGCACGGTGCATAAATACATATGCATACACATACACACACTCTGCATAGAGAATGTCTCTCACCAAAGTGTTTATCTACCTCCTCTGCCAGGCTACTCCTAATAGAGAATTTTGATGTTGCTCAATTAACTCCCTCGGATCTGCATATGAACTTGACATCCCAGATGAAATTTGGAATGCCTGTGTATGTGCACCAAAAGTGCCCAGTCTATTATTTGCCAATTGCCATTCCAAAATGGGTAGAGAGGCATAATTGAAACTTTTAATGGCTAGCATCTGTTCAATCTTCTCTTCCTTCCTTCTCTCCATCTCTCTCGAGTCTTCCTCCCCACCCACTTCCCACCCCTCATTTCAAAACCCTCCTTCCTAGCTTCTCTCCAACCCTGTGTGCAATCCTATTCCCTTTTCACACCAGCAGGCTCTCAAAATCCCCTCTGCTCCCCTGGGAAAGCCTGGAAGATCTGAGACCTCCTGCCCAGAAGTGGTTGACAATGTAGTGTTTTCATTCGAATGCAAATTTGTCTCTGGACAAGATTCAAGGAAAGTGCTTTCCCCTCCAACTGTCTCTCCAGCTCCTCCCCAGCCCTTGTTGTCTTTTGTGTTCTTGTAAATAAATGAGAGGCGAATGGCTTTCAATTTGAAGACACAGCTGCAGGGGGCTCTTAAAGGGAGCTAGAGAGAGAAAGATGCTGAAAGATTGGGCGCCCAGTGTTAAAATCTAGAAAAGGGAGGCTTTTTTAGTGTTCTCATTTCCAATTGCTCTAATTCCTCTAGAAATTTTTTAATGCTGAAAAGACGAAGCAAATTCATTCTGACTTAATATTTTTCCCTCCGTTTAACTTTTCGTTGTCCAAAAAGAAGAATCCACGCGACAATCGCAACAGAATAAACCGTAAGAAGTATGTTTATTCTTGATGTTCTCCAGATAAGTTTGTAACTCGGCCAATCTCGGAGGTAGAAAGTGTATCCAATGAAATGACCTGGGGCAAGGGTGGGGAGTGGGGGGACGGAAAAAGATTTACTGCCCGAATATCTCATTAAAACTAACAGATCGTGATTGCGACCAGGGAGATCATGATTGCCACCAGGGAGATCATGATTGCCCTGTCGGGGGGCCTTTAAAAATCTTTATGTGACAAATGCAATGCTTCTGCTATTCCCGAAATAACATCGACATGTAAGCAAACACAGGTCTCATTTGCCAAACGTGGCTTCCCTCCAGTAGTCAGCTGGCCTGTGCCAGTGTCAGGACAAGAAATACGCCCCAGGAGAGTCTAGGGCGCAGGTTCGCGTCCAGTCCTGAGCACAGCTGGGCTCGCAGAGCCGCCGGGCACCCGCGGCATCCCCGGTGTGCCCCTACTCTCGGGACCGGGCTGGGCCGGGTGGACCGTGTGGGCCGTGTGCTTCTCCCTCGCTAAGTGCGCGTGTTCTCTCC